CTATTCAACAAAATTTTTTTTCAATAAAAATTATAAAATTTGATAATAAGAAGGGCCCGGGAAAGGAAATGAAGACAGAGCCCAATTGAGCACCCCTTTACCTCGTGCCCCAGTGCAAAAATTTTTCCCCAATTTTATACTGGTGGGTCGTGTAAAAAATGCCCTTTACATTGGGGGTCAGTGGGAAAAATTGCCCCCTTACTTTGGGGGGGTCCATGGGAAAAATTTCCCTTTTTTTGGGGGTGATCAGTGGTAAGAATGCCCCTTTAAACTTTGGGGGGTTTCTTTTGGGGGAAGAATGTTTTCTTCATTGGGGGTCAGGGGGAAAAATTTGTCCCTTCCCTTTGGGGGTCGGGTGGGGGAATGCCCTTTAATTTGGGGGGTAAAGGGGAAGGGAATGGGGCCCCTTACTTTGGGTTGGTCAGTGGGAAAAATTGTTTCCTTAAATTGGTGACGTGGGAGAAAGGGGCCCCTTTTACTTTGGGGGGCCAGTGGGAAAAATTGCTTTTTAACTTTGGGGGGGTCTGGGAAGAATGTCCCTTACATTGGTGTTCAGGGGTGAAGAATGTCCCTTACTTTTGGGGGGTCAGTGGGAAGAATTCTTTTTACTTTGGGGGGTAGTGGGAAAAAATTTTTGTCCCCCTTTCAACGGGGGGTCAGTGGGAAAAAAATGCCCCTTTTCCCTTTGGGGGTCAGGGGGAAGAATGTTCTTTACATTTGGGGGCCCGGGGGAAAGAATGCCCCCTTACATTGGTGGTCAGTGGGAAGAATTTTCCCTTTTACATTGGTGATCAGGGGGAAAGAATGTCCCTTACTTTGGGGGGGCCGGGGGGAAGAATGTCCCTTACATTGGGGGTCAGTGGGAAGAAGCCCCTTACATTGGGGTCAGTGGAAGAATGTTTTTTTCCATTGGAGGTCAGTGGGAAGAATGTCCCTTACATTGGGGCCAGTGGGATGAATGTCCCTTACATTGGGGGTCAGAAGGGAAGAATGCTCCTTACATTGAGGGTCAGTTGGAAGAATGTCCTCCTTACATTGGGGAGGTCAAGTGGGAAAGCATGTTCCCTTCACATTGTGGCCTGGGAATAATGATCCTTATATTGGAGGTCAGGGGGAAGAATGGTCACCTTACATTGGTGGTTCAGTGGGAAGAATGTCCCTTACAATTGAAGGTCAGTGGGAATGAATTCCCCTTTACCTCGGGGATCCAGTGGGAAGGAATGTCCCTTACATTGGTCGTCAGTGGGAAGAATGGTCCCATACATTTGAGGTTCAGCTTGGGAAGAAATGGCCCTTACATTGGGGATCAGTGGGAAGAATGGTCCTTTACAATTGGTGGTCAGTGTGATAGAATGTCCCTACATTGGTGTCAGTGGAAGAATTGGTCCCTATACATTGGGGTCATGGGAACATCTCCTTACATTGGGGGTCATTGAGAAGAATGTCTCTACATGAAGTCAGTGGGGAAGAAATGTCCCCTTACATCGGGTCCTGGGAAGAATGGCCCCTTACATGGGTCAGTGGAAGAAGAGTGTCTCCCTTACATTGAGGGGTCAGTGGGAAGAATGTCCCGTTACATTGGTGATTAGTGTGGGAAGAATGTGTCTCTTACATTGGGGGGCCAGTGGTAAAGAATGTCCGTTACAATAGAAGTGTCAGTGGGAAGAATGTCCCCTTACATTGAAGGTCAGAGGGAAGAATGTCCCTTACATTGGGGGCCAGTGGGAAGAATGTCCCTTACATGGGGGGGGGTTCATGGAAGATGTTCCTTATACATTGGTGATCAGAGGGAAGAATGTCCCTTACATTAGAGGTCAGTGGAAGAATGCCCCTTACATTAGGGGATCAGTGGGAAGAATGTCCCTTACATTGGTGGTCAGCTGGTAAGAATTGTCCCTTACATTGGTGTCAGTGGGGAAGAATGTCCCTCTACATTGGTGGTCAGTGGGAAGAATGTCCTTACATTGGTGATCAGTGGGAAGAATGTCCCTTACATTGGTGATCAGTGGGAAGAAATTGTCCCTTACATTGGGGCGGTCAGTGGGAAAGAATCTCCCTTACATTGGGGTCCATGGGAAAAATGTCTCTTACATTGAAGGGTCAGTGGAAGAATGTCCCTTACAATCGGGGTCCTGGGAAGAATGGTCCCTTACCATTGGGGTCATGGGAAGAGTGTTCCTTACATTGGTGGGTCAGTGGGAAGAATGTCCCTTACATTGGTGGTCAGTGGGAAGAATGTCCCTTACATTGGGGGCCAGTGGGAAAATGTCCCTTTACATTGAAGGTCAGTGGGAAGAATGTCCCCTTACTATTGAAGGATCAGCAGGGAAGAATGTCCTTACATTGGGGCCAGTGGGAAGAATGTCCCTTACACTTGGGGTCAGTGGGAAGAATGTCCCTTACATTGGGGGTCAGTGGGAAGAATGCTTCCTTACATTTGGAGGGGGTCAGTGGGAAGAATGCTCCTTATCATTGGAGGAGTCAGTGGGAAGAATCTCACTTACATTGGTGGTCAGTGGGAAGAATGTCCCTTACTTGGTGGCCAGGGGGAAGAAATGATCCTTATAATTGGAGGTCAGTGGGAAGAATGCTCCTTACATTTGGTGGTCAGGAGGAAGAATGATCCTTACACATTGGGAGGTCAGTGGGAAGAATGCCCCTTATATTGAAGGTCAGTGGGAAGAATGTCCCTTACATTAGTGGTCAGTGAGAAGAATGTTCCTTACATTGAAGGTCAGTGGTAAGAATGCCCCCATCCCCTAACTTGGTGGTCAGTGGGAAGAAATGCTGCTTACATTGGGGGTCAGTGGGAAGAATGCTGCTTACATTGGTGGTCAGTGAGAAGAATGCTCCTTACATTGGTGATCAGTGGGAAGAATGTCCCTTACATTAGAGGTCAGTGGAAAGAAATGCCCCTTACATTGGGGATCAGTGGGAAGAATGTCCCTTACATTGGTGGTCAGTGGGAAGAATGTCCCTTACAAATTGGTGGTCAGGTGGGAAGAATGTCCCTTACATTGGTGGTCAGTGGGAAGAATGTCCCTTACATTGGTGATCAGTGGAAGAATGTCCCTTACATTGGTGATCAGTGGGAAGATGTCCCTTACATTGGGGGTCAGTGGGAAGAATCTCCCTTACATTGGGGGTCAGTGGGAAGAATGTCTCTTACATTGAAGGTCAGTGGGAAGAATGTCCCTTACATCGGGGGTCCTGGGAAGAATGTCCCTTACATGGGGGTCAGTGGGAAGAGTGTTCCTTACATTGGTGGTCAGTGGGAAGAATGTCCCTTACATTGGTGGTCAGTGGGAAGAATGTCCCTTACATTTGGGGGCCAGTGGGGAAGAATGTGTCCCTTACATTGAAGGTCAGTGGGAAGAATGTCCCTTACATTGAAGGTCAGAGGGAAGAATGTCCCTTACATTGGGGCCAGTGGGAAGAATGTCCCTTACATTGGGGGTCAGTGGAAGAATGTCCCTTACATTTGGGGTCAGTGGGAAGAATGCTCCTTACATTGGAGGTCAGTGGGAAGAATGCTCCTTACATTGGAGGTCAGTGGGAAGAATCTCACTTTACATTGGTGGTCAGTGGGAAGAATGTCCCTTACATTGGTGGCCAGGGGGAAGAATGATCCTTATATTGGGAGGTCAGTGGGAAGAATGCTCCTTACATTGGTGGTCAGGAGGAAGAATGATCCTTACAATTGGAGGTCAGTGGGAAGAATGCCCTTATATTGAAGGTCAGTGGGAAGAATGTCCCTTACATTAGTGGTCAGTGAGAAGAATGTTCCTTACATTGAAGGTCAGTGGTAAGAATGCCCCTCCCCTAACTTGGTGGTCAGTGGGAAGAATGCTGCTTACATTGGGGGTCAGTGGGAAGAATGCTGCTTACATTGGTGGTCAGTGAGAAGAATGCTCCTTACATTGGTGATCAGTGGAAAGAATGCTTCTCACTTTGGTGGTCAGTGGGACGAATGCCCCTCCCCTACATTGGTGGCAGTGGGAAGAATGCTTCTTACATTGAGGATCATTGGGATGAATACTGCTTTCATTGAAGAAATACTCCTTATACTGGTGGTTATTAGGAAGAATGCCCTTACTTTGTTGGTCAATTTAAAAAATGTCCCCTATATTTGTGGTCAGTGGGAAGAATGACCCTTAGACTGGTAGTCATGGGAAGAATGTTCCTTATATTGGTGGTCAGTGGGAAGAAAGCTCCTTACATGGGTGGTCAGTGGGAAGAATGTCCCTTACATTGGTGGTCAGAGGGAAGAATGTCCCTTACATTGGGGGTCAGTGGGAAGAAAGCTCCTTACATTGATGGTCAGTGGGAAGAATGTCCCTTACATTGGTGATCAGTGGGAAGAATGTCCCTTACATTGGGGGTCAGTGGGAAGAATCTCCCTTACATTGGGGGTCAGTGGGAAGAATGTCTCTTACATTGAAGGTCAGTGGGAAGAATGTCCCTTACATCGGGGGTCCTGGGGAAGAATGTCCCTTACATAAGGGTCAGTGGGAAGAGTGTTCCTTACATTGGTGGTCAGTGGGAAGAATGTCCCTTACATTGGGGGTCAGTGGGAAGAATGTCTCTTACATTGAAGAGAAGTGGGAAGAATGTCCCTTACATCGGGGGTCCTGGGGAAGAATGTCCCTTACATGGGGGTCAGTGGGAAGAGTGTTCCTTACATTGGGGGTCAGTGGGAAGAATGTCCCTTACATTGGTGATTAGTGGGAAGAATGTTTCTTACATTGGGGGCCAGTGGGAAGAATGTCCCTTACATTGAAGGTCAGTGGGAAGAATGTCCCTTACATTGAAGGTCAGAGGGAAGAATGTCCCTTACATTGGGGGCCAGTGGGAAGAATGTCCCTTACATTGGGGTCAGTGGGAAGAATGTCCCTTACATTGGGGGTCAGTTGGGAAGAATACTCCTTACATTGGAGGTCAGAGGGAAGAAGTGTCCCATTACATTGGGGCCAGTGGGAAGAATGTCCCTTACATTGGGGGTCAGTGGGAAGAATGTCCCTTACATTGGGGTCAGTGGGAAGAATGCTCCTTACATTGGAGGTCAGTGGGAAGAATGCTCCTTACATTGGAGGTCAGTGGGAAGAATCTCACTTACATTGGTGGTCAGTGGGAAGAATGTCCCTTACATTGGTGGCCAGGGGGAAGAATGATCCTTATATTGGAGGTCAGTGGGAAGAATGCTCCTTACATTGGTGGTCAGGAGGAAGAATGATCCTTACATTGGAGGTCAGTGGGAAGAATGCCCCTTATATTGAAGGTCAGTGGGAAGAATGTCCCTTACATTAGTGGTCAGTGAGAAGAATGTTCCTTACATTGAAGGTCAGTGGTAAAGAATGCCCCTCCCCTAACTTGGTGGTCAGTGGGAAGAATGCTGCTTACATTGGGGGTCAGTGGGAAGAATGCTGCTTACATTGGTGGTCAGTGAGAAGAATGCTCCTTAGATTGGTGATCAGTGGAAAGAATGCTTCTCACTTTGGTGGTCAGTGGGGACGAATGCCCCTCCCCTACATTGGTGGCAGTGGGAAGAATGCTTCTTACATTGAGGATCATTGGGATGAATACTGCTTTCATTGAAGAAATACTCCTTATACTGGTGGTTATTAGGAAGAATGCCCTTACTTTGTTGGTCAATTTAAAAAATGTCCCCTATATTTGTGGGTCAGTGGGAAGAATGACCCTTAGACTGGTAGTCATGGGAAGAATGTTCCTTATATTGGTGGTCAGTGGGAAAAAAGCTCCTTACATGGGTGGTCAGTGGGAAGAATGTCCCTTACATTGGTGGTCAGAGGGAAGAATGTCCCTTACATTGGGGGTCAGTGGGAAGAAAGCTCCTTACATTGATGGTCAGTGGGAAGAATGTCCCTTACATTGGTGATCAGTGGGAAGAAATCTCCTTACATTGGTGGTCAGTGGGAAGAATGTCCCTTACATTGATGGTCAGGGTAAGAATGCTCCTTACATTGGTGGTCAGTGGGAAGAAAGCTCCTTACTTTGATGTTCAATGGGAAGAATTCTGATACATTGGGGTCAGTGGGAAGAATGTGTTTTACATGGGGGCTCAAAAGGAGGAAAGCTCCTTACACTGAGGGTCAGTGGGTAGAATACCCCTTACATTGATGGAATACTCCTTACACAGGTGGTTATTGTGAACAATGCCTTTTACACTATTGGTCAGTTTGAAAAATGTCCCTTATATTGGTGGTCAATAGGAGGAATGCTCTTGGAATTGGGGGTAAGTGGCAGGAATACACTCTACTTTGTAAAGAATTTCCCTTTGCCTTGTCGTCCAGTGGGGAGCATGTCTCTTACAATGGCGGTCAGTGGGAAAATGCTTCTTACACTGGTGTTCATTGGACTGCTCCCTTAAATTGGGGTCAGTGATAAGAATGACCTGTTACATTGAGGGTTAGTGGGAAGGACACCTAAGAACCAGATAAAAAGACCATTAGCGTCAGTAGTAATGTATGAGGAAAGGATCCATCCTGGTGGCTCAAGGAACCTCTAAAAACATCTGCATCTGCTTACAAAGAGAGGTTGATCTAAAAGGTGCAGGTCAGGGTGTGTTGGAAAACAAGGGGAAGGAAGAGGAAAGCTGTTTTGGCCTAGGTCAAAGTGTGGTGACCCTCCACATTGTGGCATTACCCTCAGCCTTATGACACTGCAGATCACATGACCAAGTTTTTCCTCCAACAGAAAAGATCCTGTCATTGCACTGCAAACCCTATCCACTTTGCTACACCACCCTACCCTGTAGAATACCCAACTATGACCAACTACCTCTTCTCTGCACAATTTGCCAAGTATACACAGATAAAAGTATCGGTGGAGGCAATGGTGGAACTTCCGAGGCTCCTGAGGACCATTTGATGACGAAACGCATAGGTTGGGACTTCCGATGACATCACTTCCATTTTTTTGGGATGCAGGCTGGAGGGTACAGAGTGTTTACATGAGATCTTCTATGTAAGTGCATTGGATCTTTTAAGTGTACAATAAATGTTATTTCACTGTGAGAGGCTCTTCCCTTTTCTTTTGGGACCTGTTATGCATCTTTAATTGTCAAACAAGTGCATAATGTGATGCCAATGTACGGGGAATACTGGTCAGGGATCTACTAAGTGGGATAATGTATTTCTTGGTGTTATTTCTCTTTCTTGTTTATTCTAGAAGTCAATTCGATCTGGAGACTGCGGGTTGGGGTTTTCAGGCCAACTGGAGAGAAGACACTTGCATTGATGTTCTCGCCATTATTGTCTATGGAGTGGCACTATCACTGGTTGGACATTATACGGGCGATTTCAATATGTTCTTTTTCACAACTGATAAGAATTATATATTATTATAATTATTATTTTTTTTTAAATTGTTGATTATTTCATTATTATTGTATTATAAGCGTTGTCTTCCCTCATTGAGGGTCATGCGTGTTGATAGAGGTGGAACTGAGGGGTCCAGTTCAAAACTTGACACGGTCTAATAACAATGTATTGCTAGAGAGGGGGGCGGGGGTGCATGTGATCATCACAGGGCCAATCAGCGCTGCCCAGACAGAGAGCAGCCTCACAGGACAGTCATAGAAGAATAAAAACTCCTCCTACAAGATTAACCAGTGCTCAGCCGGACACTGATAGAAGTCACAATACTGCTATATACTGCTGATGAAAAAAGGGATTTAGCAATTTACAATTACTAAAATAATTGCACTTCCATGTTGTGTGTAATGAGAGAGAGCAGATATAGTGAATGCAGGGTCCGGGGAGACCAGATATAGTGAATGCAAGGTCCGGGGAGAGCGGATATAGTGAATGCGGGGTCCGGGGAGAGCGGATATAGTGAATGCAGGGTCCGGGGATAGCGAATATAGTGAATGCGGGGTTGGGAGAGAGGATATACTGAATGCGGGGTTTCAGGGAGAGCGGATATAGTGAATGCAGGGTCTGGGGTGAGCGGATATAGTGAATTTGGGGTCCGGGGAGAGCGGATATAGTGAATGCGGGGTCCGGGGAGAGCGGATATAGTGAATGCGGGGTCCGGGGAGAGTGGATATAGTGAATGTGGGGTCTGGGGAGAG